CACTGAAAAGAGTCTGGCCCCATTCCCTTGACACCTCCCCTTCAGATACTGATGCATTGATGAGATCCACCCTCAGTCTTCTCTAGGCTCAGCCCCTCCTCATATGAGAGCTGCTCCATTCCCTTGATCATCTCCATAGCCCTCCACTGGACTCTCTCTGGTAGTTCCCTGTCTTTCTTGGACTGGGGAGCCCAGAACTGGACACAGCACTCCAGATGTGGCTTCACTAAGGCAGAGTAGAGGGGGAGGATGCCCTCTCTCAACCTGCTAGCCATACCATCCATTGGCCTTCGCCACAGGGCATGTGGCTGGCTCATGGCCAACTTGTTGTCCCTCAGGACTGACAGGCCCCTCTCTGTAGAGCTGCTCTCCAGCAGGTCAACACCCAGCCAGTATGGGTGCATGGGGTTAGTCCTCTCTTGCTGAACTTCGTTAGGTTCCTCTCCCCCAACTCTCCAGCCTGTCCAGCTCACACTGGATGGCAGCACAGCCTTCTGGCGTATCAGCCACTCCTCCCAGTTTGGTATCATCAGCAAACTTGCTGAGGGTACACTCTGTCCCATCACCCAGGTTGTTGGTGATGTTGAACAAGACTGGACCCAGTAGCGACCCCTGGGGAACACCGCTAGTCACAGGCCAGCAACTAGACTCCATGACCCTGATCCAAACCCTCTGAGCTCAGCCATTCAGCCAGGCCTCAATCCACCTCACTGTCCACTCATCTAACCCTCCTAAGCTTGCCTGTGAGGATGTTACGGGGGACAGTGTCCACAGCCTTGCTGAGGTCCAGACAGACAACATCCACTGCTCTCCCTCATCCACCCAGCCTGTCATGCCATCGCAGAAGGCTATGAGACTGGGCAAGCGTAATTTCCCCTTGGTGAATCTATGCTGACTACTCCCCATAAACTTCTCTTCCTTTACATGTTTAGAGATGACATCCAGGATGAGCTGTTCCATCACCTTTCCAGGGATGGAGTTGCAGCTGACTGGCCTGCAGTTTCCCGCATCTTCCTTCTTGCCCTTTTTGAAGACTAGCATGACACTGGCTTTCCTCCAGTCCTCAGGCACCTCTCCTGTTCTCCACAACCCTTCAAGGTGATGCAGAGCACTCGTGGATGCATCCCATCAGGGCCCATGAATTTGTGGATGTCAGATTTGCCTAGCTCAACCAAGGGACAGTCTTCTTTTCCAGGTTTTCTCCCTTACTTCCAGCATCTAGGATTCCTGAAAGCCAGCCTTAGCAGTAAAGCCTGATGCAAAGAAGGCATTCAGCAACTGCACCTTCTCTGCATCCTCCATCACCACAGCACACATTTTCCCTGGTCTTACTTTTGCTACTGATGTACTTAACGAAGTCCTTCTTATTGTCCTTGACATCCCTTGCCATGTTTAATTCCAAGTGAGTCTTAGCCTTCCTCACTGCATCCCTGCATATTCTGACAACATTTCTGTATACCTCCCAGATGGCCAGTCCCTTTTTCCACATTCTGTGAATTTTCTTTTTCCATTTAGGTTTTTCGAGAAGCTTGTTGTTCATCCATTCAGGTCTTCACCTCCTTTGCCTGAATTCCTGTTCACAGGGATGAACTGATCTGGAGCTTGGAGGATACGGTTGGCCTTCTGGGCTGCCAGCGCACACAGCCGGCTCACGTTCAGTTTTTCGTCCCCCAGTACCCCAAGTCCTTCTCGTCGGAGCTGCTCTCCATCCACTCTCCACCCAGCCTGTACTTGTGCTTGGGATTGCCCCAACCCAGGTGCAGGACCTTGCACTTGGCCTTGTTGAACTCCATGAGGTTGGCACAGTCCCACCTCTCCAGCCTGTCCAGGTCCCTCTGGATGCCATCCCTTCCCTCCAGCGTGTCGACCACGCCACACAGCTTGGTGTCGTCAGCAAACTTGCTGAGGGTTTTGAATACTATCCAGCTCTCTTGCACCCCCTTCCTTCTAGAGTCTTAGCCCAGGGGATTCCTCCAAGTAGGTCTTTGGAGAGGCCAGAGTCAGCTCTCCTGAATTCAAGGTTTGCAATTCTACTTTTTGCCCTGCTACGCCGGATCCTGAACTCCACTGTCTCATGGTCACTGCAGCCAAGGATACCCCCAACCTTCGCATCCCCCAGCTAGTCCTCCTTTGCATTTTGTAACGCATTTTGCATTTTGTAGTGCAAAAGATGAGAAACAGATGTATCAAGCATTTGTTTAGGGTCACTTTTGGAAATATTTGCCCACCTTGAAAAACTTTACAGCTAAATTTTACATTGATTGCCTGAGAAAAGGTATAAAAAAAAAAAAAAAGGATGCAAAGACATTAATTCATCAGTCCTATACAATTTAAATAACTTGTTACAAAGTTTTCCAGAATGTATGCATATATTTATTTAACTCCTACCCAAAAAAGATTCCTTATAATTAGAAGGTTTTCCATAGGATGAATTTCCATTTTAAGCAGAATCTTCCAGAGCTGCTGAGGGCCTATGCTCAAATAAGTTACTTCCTCCAGAGCCCTAACTTCCAGCACTAGGACAAATCCCAGCCTAACGTAGCCTAATGTACTACAGCAGCTGTTTGCTGGCAGTAAGTTTGTAAGCTAATGCCATTTGTGGGAGCTCCCAAACTCTTTTTCCAAAGATCAACACAAGAAATTTCAAAGACAGATAAAAATGTAGTACTGAATTCTGTCTCCTTTACACATTATTATTAAACATTCGCAATTCCACACTCACTGGCAGCGTATCGGATCATGTAAAAGGTAAAATAAATAAAAGCTTTGCTAAAGCTGAGCTGGTTCTGCAATGCTGCCAGACAGAGAAACTTCTATTCCTCAAGTAGTCCTAAAAATAAAACTGGGACACAAAACCAAACAGCTGTACTATTATTTTATATGGTAGTTCTACTACTCAACAAGAACTTGGTTGAGTGTGCCACTAAGGATGAGTCCTCCCCATTTCTCACATCTGGAAAGAGAAGTCTGCACCCTGAGACATAAAACCTCCTTCTGGTGCTGAATCACGGCCATTTTTATAAGCCTAAAAGTTTCAAGCTATTAATGTCCAAACCAATATGTGTTATACCACGAGCACATGCAGCGCTGCATACGCTGCTACAACTCCTGCCGTATTACCTTGATGATTCTCCAGATCCATATCAAGTCGCTGAATGACCTTTTTAAAATGGTTTGTTTTTTCTTTTACTTCTGTCAGCCTGACAAATAGGTAATGAAATCCAAGGTTAAAAAATTATTGTAAAGCACCTATTTTTTTTAGACAAAAATTGAGAGAAAAATCAAGAATAAAAATAGCAACCCAAAGTCTATCAAAACCAAGAGAATAGCAGGAGGATTGCTGTTATTATAAAAGGTATATTAAAGAACCTATCACTTCGGTCCCAGTATCTACTAAATATAAGTACTGCTGATGTTTTTTTATTAAAAAAATTTTTTTTGAGTCATCAGTAGTTCTTAACTTACTCAACTGATCCCTCTGCTGGTGGCGATACAGCTTTGCAGAGGTAAAACACTGGTGAAGTGCAACAAGGAACTGTATTCCTTAAAATTACCTACATGTTCACTACAACCGATTAAGAAATCACTGAGTTAAACACTGTATGGCATAAGAAATCGAACTGAGAAAGGAAATAAACTTAAAAATGTTTCTACATAAATTCGCAAATATATTTCTCTGTTCTTTCTTTCAAAAAAAATCTGCTATTATCCAATCAAAGATGCCAATGCAATAAAAATTAGCCAAAGTTCACAGCTGGGAATACCGCTTAAGAGAATTTAAAATTGTTTCCAGGAGTTCTCAGGAATTATCTCAATTCTTTTGTGAAGAGAGAAATCAAAGGGCTCAAAAGCACAAAAATATTGTACTGTTTTAACTTCTTCCCAGTTCATTACTATTTATTATAATATTTACCAGAGTTTCTGGTAACCTTCAGAAAGGTCCAGTACCCAAGAATCAAGAAGCAAGCCCCGTTATTCTTGAGAATGTAACTTTCTGTGAGCAACTTCGCACCTCTCAGGTTTTAAGACGTCCCAGATGAGCAGGTCTTATGACTGAATGTCGTCCAAGAAGTTTATGTCAGTGCTATTACCATTTTATAGCTTCAAGGCATGTTCATAAGGATAGGAAATATCTTATTATGCAGATCTAAATGTCCTATCACTACAGAAGTTGCTCAGCTGAAACAGATGGATATATTCTGTTCTCTGTGGAAGGCTACTGCTAGCGGAGTCTTGAAAGTGTGATGATGTTGTAGAAATCCATAGAAATACATGAATTCAACACTCTGTCTTTAGGGTCTAAATATAATCTGTAGCAACAGTAGAATGGATTACTCACTGTCTTTCCATGCTTGCTATTTCTTGACTATCGTCTTTAACCTATAAAAAAGCATAACACCTTTAACATATGAATCTACAAATGAAAAAAGGGATGTCAAAACCAATTTCTTAATTCAGTGTACAAAGACTAGAAACTCAGCATATGAAATCACAAACTTGCTGTCACACTGTGCGACAACACCTCTTCACTGAGGAAAAGTGGTGATACAACTTCAGTGTTAAGTCTTCCACACGTTCTCCTACTGTCTCAACACACATCTGAAAATCGGACACACTTATCAGTGCCATTCAGTCCAACAATCCATACAGTATATATGGACAGCTGCATAACACAGCACAGATCCTTATAAACTAAGTAAGCTCCTGGATTTGTATGCCTGCTCAGTACCTCTCAAGGATACTGCCTGGAGTTACGTTACAGAACTGTTCAACAGCATGGGTTTTCCCACACCAATGTGACTGATGGATTGGAACAAGTCAAACAGCTGACAAGCTGACTGTGCCAGTTTTGGTTCGACTGAACCTGAAATGTCCCATCCGGCCAATTCATTAACTGTTTTTAGTTCCAGTTGATTTGTGCTGCTTCAAGAGTACATAATGGCAAGATTTAACCCCAAGTATTTTTAGGTATTATCAGCCCTTAAAATATTGACTCAGAGAATCTTTTACACAATAACATCTTGCCTGCTTTAGTAATCTCTCTCTTTCCTCCTGTGGAGATTCCATGTTCTTATCCTCAGCAATCATTTGATCCCGACGTTCCTTGAGCTCATGGAGCTTTTCATACAGCCGCACAGCCTCCTGTTTCACCTGGGAGTGTGCTATTTCCTGTTGGGAAAAGCAAACAACTGCTGGCTATTTTCAGATGGCAAAAGAGCATTGAAAAAATTATGCTTTAGTTAAGCAACACTTACCTATACATCGAGAGTGAAGCTTATTTGTTACAAACACTACAGACACAGTATAAACAATAAACTTTATAATCCATATTCTCAACATTGTACTGTCTGGAATGGAATATCTCAGCTGCTTCTTATAGGTATTTTTCTACTATATTGTTTTTTACACTAGAGTTCAGCAAAGATTGGTACAGAGATCACTTGTTATCATACATACAGCTCTTAGAGCCTCCTCCTTCACATTTAGTGCATCCAATTCTTGCTGTTGAACAACCAATTCCTAGAGAGGAAAAAAATGCAAAATTCAGATAAAAATTATTACTTGATAAGATTACTTTTTTGTTCTGCCACTCAGTATTATAAAATGCTGTATAACATCTCACTGCTGCTCTTAAACATTCAAAAGACAAGACTGTGTCCAGCTTCTCCAACTCAGATATAATAGCCACATAGGTTCAGCTTTTCCAATAAATTCTTATCATTGTTGCTTGCAGTGGGGCTGCAACAAAAACTGTTTGCCCTTTTTCCACTATTTTTCTTAAAATCAGTACTGAGTGTGGTATTTTTCACTTCCATTTCAAGAGTTTAAAGTCAGATTCAGCTCATTCTAAGACAGCTGGGAAGCATTGGTCTCGAGAGATGCCTATCTCTGTACAGGCTATAGAGAGGAACTTTCTAAGACTATATGCCTGAAGCTAGATGATCCCAGAGAACCTGTTTCAATTGATATATTAATTAATCTATTTCAATTAATTGCACTGATTTTGTAGGATTAGTGAAGTCACAAAAATTTATAAAGCCCAATTAATTTTTCTGATACATTCAGATGTACAACAAGAACAACAAAAAACTTGAGTCAGATTCAGTTCTGTACACAGGAAGAAAACATTCTACTCAAGTGAACTTAAAAACGTGCTGGGGTTTTTTTTTTTCCCCTTTTTGCTTGCTGTTTACACATGATGAAACATCTAAGCACTACAGTGGCTCTTAAAAATCTGCATGTCACTCCTCAAATTTAAATGCAAAATGATGAACGTCATTTGTCCTTAAAATAAGAAATATGAAAAGGCAAAATATTTGGTTGTAATCTATTTCTCTATTTTTTTTTCAGGCACTTCTACAACTGATTAAGGTACCAGCAAGTTTTTTTATTGTATTACTCCCTTCTCAAGCTCCTTAATATTTAAATCGCATCTGAAACCAATGGAGCCAGAGTGAGAAGCATTTTAGGTTAAGTACAATGAAACCAACCAACCTGGGAGAGTTTTTCATTTGCAGCCTTCATCTCCATATATTTAGCTTGATTTTCCTGTGACATGTCTTTTATTATGTCATCTGCTACAACCTTTTCCCGTTCAATATCTTCTTCTACACCTTGAATTAACTTTTCTGTGCTGTAAAAATAGAATGGTTTTGTAACTTTTACTAGTTGATATGCATTTTAAGCACCTATTTCCAATTGTAGTATTCCTTCAGCCTCACTGAAATGATCCTTTAACACAAAAAATCCAGTCACCTGCTTGTATCTGATATTCTTGGAGCTGGAATAGCTGCACAAGAATTCACACCACGGAGTGCAGAAGATGAAGAATTCTTTGCCCTTAAGAGTACGCACACAGTACTTTCCAACACCCCCACCCTGTCTGCCTGCAGAGTCTACAACACTGGCAAAAGCATACTACCCTCTCTCAGTTGCTCTCAATCAGTGAATTCCTGGAATAAGACCAGGCAGTTTGAAATAAAGATGCTGGTATGAGATTTGTGAATGCACATAAAGAAAACGTATATAGATCCCGGGACTTGACGGTATTGGATAATGATGATACCATCACTTTCTCTTAGCAATGAACTGTCGGATTCCTTAAGAATGGAGAGCGGCTTCAGAGTCTTAGGCAGCGTGGAGATTCTTAACCATGCAAGAACTATTAAATTAGATATTCCTAACAGTCTTGATTCATGACTTTAATCTCATTAGGAAATCAATGGGCTGCAACCACACAAACTTCTCTACCACCACAGCTATGGAGAGCTACAAGCAAATGCATCAGCAGATTCTAGGACGGCACAAGGAGCTGTTCTCACTGTTTCATATAACGTCTGGCCATTTTTATGAAAGTCTTGAAAGCTAGAGAGTCAGTCTGACAACACAGCTGAAGATACAGGAAATTAACACACACCCCTGAGAACCTGAAGGGTGCACCTTCTTTCCCTTCACAGTTCACTTCACAGAATGATTATTTCCACTTCACAGAAAGGTTATTTAAACTGTTTGCTTGTTTCCAGAGTGACTTCTGCTATTAAGAATGATAAAACCAGCCACAGTACCTTCCTTCAGGACCTTTTTACTTCTATTTTTCATTAACACTTCCCGAGTTGCAAGATGCCAAAAATTTTAAATTGTGCAACTGATAGTATCAGATCAAAAACTGCAGCAAAGAACATCCTCAGGCTTAAAAAATGATGCAAAATTGCAGGATTGCACAAGAATAATCCCAGGGTAAGGTAACAATGAAAATTTCACAGAAGCAGATTAGAGCTGATGTTGCAATGGACTTCTGAAGGTCAGTTAGTCCAGCCCCACTACTCAAACTATGGTCACCTAGAACATGTTGTCAGTGTCTTTTTCAGGCAGGTTTTGAGAATCTTGAATGATGGGGACCCCACAACCTGTCTGGGCAATATTTTGAAGTTTGGCCACTCTTACAGCAAAAAGTTTTTTCTCACGTTTAAATGGAATTTCCTGTTCTTCAATTTGCAGCCACTGCCTCTTCCCTCCCGCCCTTAGGTCTGTTCACTGAGAAGAGACCAGCTCCATTTTCTTGAATCCTGTCCATCAGGTATTGTCTTTGATAAAATACCCATTAAGCCTTCTCTTCAAGAGATTAAACAATTGCAGCTCCCTAAGCCTTTCCTCAGTTTTTAGGAATTCTTAAAAGAGACTCGAAAGTGTAACTAGTCTTTCCACTGGCTTCGAGAAAGATTCATCCCAGCAATCTCAGGACTTTGAGTGGAAATTCTGTCAGGTTACCAACCCATGCTGCCAAGATGCTTTGGAGCCTGATGATGAGGAAAGAGATGATGTTGCACTTTCTGTGGCAAATTGCAGTGCACTGGGACTGCCCAAGAAATACTGGACAGTTGTAAGATAACATTAGATGGAACACCCTCTCGAGAGGAAAAAAATCTTTGGACCCAGACTGAAGAATGAGGCCCTCACTGTAAGTACAACCAGTTTATAAATGGATAATCATGTTATGCCTGCTAGTGAAAAGGCGTCATTTTTTAAGTGAAGCATGTTCTTAAGCTATGAGAGCAGTTTGATTCAAGACCCTCTGGAAGGTACAGAACTGGAAGATGACATGGGTATTCACATTGCTTCTTTATTGGAAGCTCCTCATCCCTTCAGTCTGAACCTATGAAAGCTGTTGCAAGGTCTCAGCAGTGACAGTTTCTCTCAATTCAAGCTCAGCTGAAGACACGGCAGGATAAAAACAGAGAATTTGCAAGGAAGAATTCAAGAAAACATTAAGGTTGCTAATTTCCAGAAAAAAAATGTCCACACTACATGTAATTCACCCAGAAAGACTGTCAGTACTGATCACAGGGAGCTTGTCTTTACAAACAGGATGCCTTTTCCTGGAGATCACTGGGGTGTTTAGGGAGAGAGAGAATACCGCTTGCTACATTTTCCTGCCTTTCAAAACACCTCGTGGAAGCAGCTGCCACCGCTGAGGGCAGTGGTGACTCCAAGCTCTAGTGGATTCTTCTCATCTGTGCTTGAAGCTGCAATTTTGCATGGCAGGGTAAGGAAAGAAAGCCTACTTTTCCAGCCTCACCAACGTAAGGTGGGTGTGGGCACACTACAGAGCAGCCTCTTTACCTGAGACGAGTCTCTCTTTCTTATGACTCCTGGATAAATACTTAAAGGTGATCCAGCATGTGTTTGAGACTAGACTTGTGCTTGACTTAGCTGTGATGCATCTTCTCCGCTGGAAACCTTCTGACAGAAGGTGATTTTCTAAGACGCAATGAAAATATCTGCAATGTCTGTCACAGGAAGACAATTCATGGCAAGTCATTTGACCGCAGGTGAAGCTGAATCACGGATGAGGCTTGGAAAAGTTGCAGAATGTTCGGAGATATTAAGCAAAAAATCAAAGCGGTGATAACATCAAAGAGGGATAGTGAAGAAAAGTGGTTTCTACAGCCACATATTTGAGAGGAATGGATAGTAAGACTGAAGCGTGCTCTGGTTTCATGCTGTGCACTGGAAAAAATGAGGCTTAGAGAATGAGCAAGAAACAACTTATTGGACAAAGTGTTTGTGTGTCAATATAATCCCGACTTCAACCTGCATACAGACATTCTCCCAGCCAAAGCAAGTATATTTGTTTATAGAATTTCTCCCTGAAACATAGCCCATGTAACAGATACGTAAGTGCTTGTAACTCTTCGGAAGTGATAAGCTTTATATACCACACCCTGCAGCTCCTCTGATTCTGATGTTTCCAAAACACCAGAATACAACACGGATTTAACTAACTACTAGAGATCTGTACTTCAGTATGCAAATATCAGGAAATTTTCTTCATTTCATGGCAGATCGCATAAAAAATGCAAGTCTTCTTCTGTCCCCAGCATTTCTTTAGTTGTTTATAACGCAACTTGCTTGTAAATTCCCAGTGGCATTTTAACTCAGTGCTTCCTATGTGATCTGGAACTTGACACTAGAGCATACTACTATTAGACTTCCCTATTGGCTGCACATCCAATTAAATCCGAGATGATTATAAGGAGTTGCTCAACCTAGTCAATCTTTTGCTAAGGATTTTCTAAGTTTATTATTTTTTACACTGCCTGCTTATTCATCAGGTACAAAGGTTGAACAAAAACAAAGTGCTGTTGCACCATATTGTTTCTTGTCAGTGCGCTGAAAACTCTACACATGTGTACATAGGCTGCCGCTGGGAAGCAACAGAAAGGTAAGACCCTTGGCACATCTTTTTCAAAATGTAATCAAAGATCTTTTATTATAACTTTGATGCCAGATTGAAAACAAATACATCTGGAGATACATTAAAAGTTCAGGGATTACTACGAACCCTGGACATGCCAAGTTTTTAAGTAAACTGTACTTCAGTAGACAGTCAGTGAACAGTCTGTTTCTTCTCTGAAAACCAGACCATCTCATCATATGAATTCCATTACCTCCCCACATCTGCCTTTTTCTTCACAAATGCAAGAAAAACAATAGGAATTACATTACTATTAAATGATAAAATCTTCAAAAGTTGTCTGGGGAACACTTTCTAAGAAAACATTTGTATTTACAAGGAAATGGCACCTACCGCCAGTGTATTGCCAGGCTCGGTTTGGTTCCAAAGCAATTACTTGAAACAGCATTCCTTAATGTCTGGTTTTAGGAAAAAGCTAAACTGCAATTAAAATTACAGATGCTTTCCTGTTCTAACCCTGATTATATGGGTTCCCACACACACAATGCAGGAAACCAAGTTTGTAGGAAAGTCCCTAACTTTTCGGTACAAGCTAAAGAATAGGAACTATGTTTCTGACATAGGCATATGTAGGGTGAATTTTTAGACAGGAAGATGATTTTTCCAGTTAATGGCATTCCAATGAGACATGTTAATGTTTTGTTTGAAGTTCTGAAAAACTTTTAAATTCACTTTTATTTTCAACTCGATTGTTACCGATTAACTTACAGGCTAACTTGTAAAATAATATTTTAATATACTTTTTCTACCAGTAAAGACAGCATTTTTCTTGAAATCTGCAAACTATAATAATACTATTAATCCATGTTTCTAGATTGCCTGGTTAAGTCCCACCCTGTTTCTGAACACCCTGGAAGCTTGGTATCTTTAAGGTCCAAGTACACCACAAGACCCAACTATTAACATAGTCGGTATCAGGAATTCTCAAACTGCATCATGTTTTCCACTAGCAATACACAAAATGTCTCCAAAATGTGTGCAGGCCTCCAGCCCCATCGCTGACAAGAACAATAGCTAATACAGAACATAATACCACAGTGGTTGCTTCTAGCACCCCTTATCCCTGCCACTGATAATGTCTAACAAAAAGCTTTATGAACCCTTTTTGTATTTAATGTAAATTTGCAACAGCAGTAGAAATGCACAGTGTCAGTGGAATTTATCCTCTTTTTCTTTCTAAGATGTCAGTAAGTTTCCAGGCTGATTCAGTCAATGAGGTCAGTGCACAGCAGCAATCAATTAGACGTGACCAATTAGTTCGGTACTCCATGCTGATCACCTGGCACAATATGTAAAGATTGTTGGAGTTCTTTTAAATCTGACTGGCTGCCTGTATTCGGCATTGTTCGTGCAATTGAACCTCGTTATGTAATTTCCCCCACTCTTCTCTGTTAAACTCAGTGAACTCTACAGCTCAGGATACAATAGGCACACTAAACAACTACCTTATCTCTTGGATCTTTTTTAAATCTGGACGATAGGAATCTGGGAAGAAGATGCTGAGGTTCATTTATGCCACTATCTTTTCTCTTCAGATGCTTAAGAAAAAATTGAATTCAAGTCTGGCATAAAAAGGGACTGATTTAACATCTGACAGAGATGGTTTAACATCCCTGTTCCAAATGAGTAGATCTTGCAAACAATGCCTGATTCAAAGGGGATGGATAAGTGACACTGCCTCTGAGAGCAGCTAACATCACAGTGAATACCGTTTCTCAGAAAAGCTTTCCTGGCTCTCAAAAATTATAGTTCAAATCTGTACAAATACTCCAGCACAAGAGATTGAACCATGTTTCCTCAGTTCCAAAGATCAGAGCAACAAGTACACCTTCATAATACAGAGGTCCAGGTTTATGTCATATGATATATGTTATATTATGGATAATAGAGAGATTAGAAAACCAATCTACTAATTAAAAAAAAATCACAGAAACCATTTGATAACTTGCATAAGAACACAAGAGAAATCTGACTGGATAAACCGACAATCCGTCTAGTACAGTGTTCTGCCTCTGTCAGTAGTGACTAGAGAAATTATTCAGAGAGCATGCAAGCTTGAATATGTTTTACAGTTTATTCCCATCACAGTTTTCCAGCACCCGTAATTGCTTTAACAGGGATATGAATGAGCACATCCCTGCCTATTCGTTTTATCCATCTGTCTAAATCGTTGTCTGTTAACTTGTCTAATCAATCCCTTTTCTATTAGCTGATACAGGCTGCTCACTGGATTTTAGGTTTGGGTCCACGAAGTGAAAGCTGAACGCATTAGTTCTGATAACCTATGTTTTTCCTCTTCATTTTATATTTATCTATTTCATATTTATATATATCTATGTAGAACAACATCTATTAAATTATTGTTGCAATAACTCTATCTATTAATGTGTTAAACTACCACTAGAGAAAACACTGGTATTCTGGTCTTGGTATACAGAAATGTTGGGTTTTTTGCTAGGTTCTAAACATGAAACTCTATTGGCTTGTGATCTGGGCTGGAACACTGGTTTTGGATCCAGTCACTGCTGACTGCAACATCACTTCTCAAACGGTAGGTTTTCTGTGTATGTAAATTACGCTTATTTTTGAAAGTTCCACTAGAAGCTAATGACATTTTAAAATCTGCCTTGTAAATATAAAATTCCTGAAGAAAGAAGCACAGAGACAAATAAGAAGGTGTGGTTTTCTGCAAAATGGACAACTAGCTGCTGGCAGTCATTGTCAGTGGGTGAAGGAGACAGAAACATAGAATCATAGAACCATAGAATGGTTTGGGTTGGAAGGGACCTTAAAGACCATCCAGTTCCAACCCCCCTGCCATGGGCAGGGACACCTTCCACTAGACCAGGTTGCTCCAAGCTTCATCCAGCCTGGCCTTGAAGATGGACAGGGATGGGGCAGATGGTTTTAAATCTCAGTCAAATGTCTCTGCAGGCAACAGGAGTGCCTCCTTTACCTGTTTGGAACAGGCCTATAAAATCAACAGTTATTTGGACAAGGCCCACTTCTGCTCAAGTTAGAGAGATTTATTGAGTTAACACTTTGCCCAAGTCAGTCCAAATGTATAGAAAGAAATTTTAGAGGTTTTTTCAGAGATTAATTTAATGGATTTTTTATTTATTGGGGAATGGAGGGGAAGGAAGAAGTCTTGATTAACAGTTAAGTGATAAAACTGGTACTGCACTATTTGATCTGATGCACCGTCTATATGTCCAGTACTGTGTCTACTGCTTCTTCATCTTCGAGACAAAGATGAGGAACAAAAAAACATGCAATGAGTATATATGAGTAGAAAACACACTCCATCTACATTTGTTTTTAAATAAGTTATCTAGCCTCAATCTGGCCACAGCAGTAACCAGCTGAACATAGGCTACTTATTTAGGAAGAGAGATGACACAACCAATCTGTTTCTAGGACTCAGAATCTCCTTTAAAGCCAGTTCAAGAATTGTGACACTAAACTGTGGTCAGCAGTGATGAACACATCCCTGGATGCCCCATCCCTGGAAGTGTCCAAGGCGAGGCTGGATGAGGCTTGGAGCAACCTGGTCTAGTGGAAGGTGTCCCTGCCCATGGCAGGGGGTTGGAACTGGGTGATATTTAAGGTCCCTTCCAACCCAAACCATTCTGTGATTGTATGATACATATACATATAAAGAAATCAGCTTTTCTCAGAAAACAAAAATGTTTCAAGGTATTGAAAGTGAGCACTCTCAAACCTGAAAAGACTGCAGCTATGCTAAACTTCAACTCAGAACACCAAAATGAATTTAAGTGCTACGTTTATAATAAAATATATACTAAGTGTTTTCATGAAGGTCTGCTCCAAAGATGTTTGAAGGAATAAACATAGAATCATAGAATGGTTAGGGTTGGAACAACATAGTTGTTTTTAAAACAAAACAATACATTTGAAAGAGCATATCTGAATTAATTTTTAGTCTTGAATCCACTTAGTCTATGACACCTTTTCAGATTATGTGAGAAAGGAATCCTTTTTCTACCCAGCCAACCTTCACACAGAAATCTGAAACAGACAGCACTACTAATTCCAAAATACCATTCCAAACTGGTTATATTTGGGATGATCACCACATAAAGAGCCTTGCATCTCAAACAGAGTTTAAGCACCAAGTGATCTGGAACCTCAGATCTCTACACACTATGAGGATTCACTCCCCTGTATCAGCAAGACGCAAGTATATTAAGAAAAACACGAATAAATTTGCATGATGAGCAGTAGAACTTTTCTTTTAAAGTCCTGGCATTGACAAAGACAAGAAAGAATTTTCATGCCCTTAATAGTCATCACTGAGCCACCTTCATCACCAAACTTCCCTACAGTATTTAATTGTTGACATTCTCTTTTTTTTCCAACAGGTCACTTGTGAGGACTCTGGAAAGAACCTCTCTAATATCCCCATTAATGTTTTCCAAAACATTACTAAATTAAGCCTCAAAAATAATAAAATCACTTTAAATGATAGTGACAAAATGATTCTTTCAGGTTTTGTTAACCTCATTGAACTGTATTTGAATGAAAACATAATTACCACACTGTATAATAACAGCTTCTGCAATCTGACAAATCTCGTAATTCTGGATATCAGCAACAATCATATCAGCACAGTTCAGAAGGCAGCATTTGCAGGATTAAATCAGCTGTCAGTGTTGAATCTATCTTATAACATGATTACTGAACTAGATTCATATGTATTTACTTCTCTGAAAAGACTGAAAGTTTTAGATCTACAGTATAACTTTCTGAAATCTTTTCATATAAAATCATCTTTTAGACTGATTAAAATAGTTTTAGCTGGCAACCCATGGAGCTGCTCCTGTGACCTCCTTGATTTACAGATATGGCTAACGGCCTCCAATGTGACAATGGGTAAGTTTTGGTGAGAGCAGCATCTCATACTTGTCTTCATCAAACAGCTTTATCTTGGGGTTTGTTTTTCTGCATGTGGATAACATCCACCATCAACTTACTTGTATTTTGCAGTAATACATTAGTTATCCATGAATTTTTTTTTTAATTCGAGTGCAAATTAATTAGCAGTATCTCATAGCCCTTCCACTACTCACATTCACAGAAAATGAAAACAGCACTACATGTACGTTCCCAGACACCAAGAAAAAATTCTCCATCAAGACGGCAGCTATCCAGCCACCTGACTGCATAACTGAAAACGCTCCTCTAGAGAACACTGTAACTCCCACTCCCACCATTAAGCTCCAAAGAGGTCACTTTCTAACAACCGTGACTCCAAACAACATCACCGGAAACAATGGAACACATGCAGGTAATATACTGATTTTTCACTTTACTGCTTACAAGCCGTTTGATTTGCTGTTCCACAATTTCATTCTGCTTTGTACTCCCAGAACACTACTTCTTCCGTAAAAGTCAGGGCTATGGAACAAGCGTATTTCCAGGTTTTGGTAATCCATACACACCTTATGGTGAATGTTCACCACTGCTGAATGGGTGTTCAAAAAGGATAAACCACACCTGAATTCTTACATGATACGACAAACCGATGATGAAATTTCAAAGGCTTGAAATTCAGATAATTGTCCAGCTCTCTGCCTAAAGAAATTAGGGAAGCATCTTTTAAAAAAGTTCAATTACTTTTTCCAAACTAACTGCTTTCTAGGTGTAGCTGTCTTCGTAAAATGTGGAAGACCGAGTCTATTCCTTTCACTCCTGTCCTTGACTGCATTCAGTGTGAAGGACATGCATGTGCCCATCCCATATGCTTTGAGAATTTCAGTCATAGCCTCCTTATTTTTCCCCACCTTTAGATGTTAATTCCATCATAACTCTGCAATACTCTAGCTTTGCTTTTGGTGATGTCTGGTTTTCCCCCTTACATGCAAATTAAGGTGGTTCTCCACTCTTCCATAAGGAAGTGCTTTACTTCTTGCTAAAGCAGAAGAAATATCCATCTCCAGATACATACACAAATCATAAGCCACCACTGCCACACATTTCTTTTGCAGTAGCAGCTATAATCTATTTTAGGACAGTGGCCAGCACACAAAAAAAAGCTTCTAATTAAAGACTACAGGCAACTACAGTCTACTGAATTTTTTATTATCACACAAATACAATTGAGAGAGTGCTGACATCATTATCATACAGAAATCTAAGCCTGGAAAATAGAATTGGAAGTAAATTACTGTTGGTTTTCTTTTCCAAAGCCTAAACTTAGCATTTAGATTTTGAAAAAAATGGTTATTTTATCTGTTATATATCCCCAGAATTTTATCTGGCCCTGAAAGTATTACTTATTTTTGATAAGTATGCATGCTGGACTTAATATTGCTAGGAAATTCAAGATGTGTATGTATTTTTGGTCTGAGTGATGTTATGGACTCCCCACCATGACAGCAGTAACATTCTGCTACATCTCTAGAGACACTCAGTAACGCCCCTATCATTGTTTGTGTTCTCAATATAACTATGAAAAAATCATACTAGAGTTGTTGCTGGTATTCCTCATGGAGATGACTCTTCTTTTTTCCCTGTCTCTTTTAAAGAGTTACCACTTCTTGGCAAAAGTTGGACCTTCCTAGCGGGTGTTCTAGGGTTTGTCCTAGGCACTACACTCCTGATTTTTACGGCTACCAAGTGCCCGACCTGGTATCGCTATTTGATCAGCTACAGTCACCGTCGTCTGGAAGAAAATGACTCGGAGATGTTTGAACAGGAGTTCTCAGCTGACATGAGATCCTCTCCTACAGCGCTGGGTACAGACAATGAAGATCCCATAGTAATATTTGAGAAAATTCAGGCACTGGGGCCTGTAGAAGATGGATTTATTGAGGATAAATACATAGATCCTTACCTAACAGAGCAGAGTTAATGTCCTAAACAACGGACGATGAACTGACTTTTCAAAACTGTAGTACACTTGCACTTCCATATTACACTCCTTATGTACAATACAAAATGAAGCTAAGCAGACCATCTCCTTTCATCTCGTCAAATCCCTAACAACGTATTGCTGCCAGAAACGCGAAGCTAAACAGTGTGGCGATGTGCGCGCATTAGCGTCACAACAGGTATTTCAAAACATGCAAAAAATACTTGTAATCCATCTTTTATAAAAACCTATTGGGTTATTCATAGCGGGAGGGGAAAGCCTACTATGTATTGCTTAACATGAACAGGTCTTTACAAATCAGCTTGCGAAACCAGCATGATCACTAATGCTTTGTATGTGAAGAAGGCCAGAGAGCAAGAATAATTTCTCTGAAATGTCGAAGCAGACCACAGCCAGACTGGGGACTGAATCCAAATCAACGGTGTCACAGCTCAGTAGTCCGTTAGGCAAAACTAACACAGGCAGAGAACTGAGCATTTAGGTCGTGGGTTTTTTTAACTGATTCAGCGAGCAAGAAAGTCCAACTGCTCCATTCCCATAAATATTTCTACAGAGTACAATGATAAATTATCATTACCACATATCTAATGCCTTTATGCCTCAGTTTGCTACCAAGTCTTTTCTCTTCATAGTTTCTTACCACTTAAAAATGCATTCAGGGGTAGAATAGACATATTTGTGAGCTGCTGAAAACTGCAGTATTACTGAAAAGTGATTTAATAGCAAATGGTAAACCGTTAAAAGTGCTTATTTATAGATAAAATCCCACCGTTGACATAGCTCTTACTGGCAACAAGAAGGATCGCAGCTCTTTCTCCTGCGCATCTCTTGCCCCTATATCAAGCATCTCAGAAACTCAGCCTATCACCATGCAAGTCATTCTCATGGATTACAAGTTCTTACTGCAAGCATCTCACTGTCCCCATCTTCCACTCCACACAGCCTTACCTTACCAGACAGGAATCTCAGTTCTAGTGCCTACTTCTGTGTGCTTTCCCAACGCTGCTACTCCACAACCCAACCCACAAAACTCAGGAACTTGCAGCACAGTTGCCAAAGGAAAGAAGGCTCAACTGCCACCTAACTCCTCCGGGATGGCATGGCAAGTAACTCCACAGCAGTTAATCAGAGGAGTTTACAGCTGTGATCTCCAACTGCAGCCTGGACCTGACGTATCATCCTGAAATTGCTCAGGTGTCCATTGTGGCATACATCGCACTGCTAAGGAACTCCTGAATTAGGAAGCACCTCAATTTTGCTAAGCTCAGTTATTATTTTAACAGTTTTGGAGAAGCATACAGTTCACGTACTTACGCTTGTCTTTCTGTGAAAATTTTGTCCACACTCTGAGCGTCTCGGTCATTCTGAACCTTTAACTTAAAAAAAAAAAAAAAGATATTTTGATATATTATGTAATAATAAAGATGCAGATTTCATACACAAATTCAGTGTTTCCTTTAAATAAGCAAGAACTGCTCAGAATGCAGTAGAGGAAGGAGCAGCAGAGCCTGCCTGCTCCAGAGGTTTTTCGCAGTTGATACTGAAGAAAGACCTCCTGAAACTGCATTCTTCCACTGGAAACCAAAGTGAGTAAGAAGGCATCTCTGTATTTGAAGAAGAAATACAAACACGTTTGTCACAATCAATTAACTTACTATTACTGTGGCATCTACTACTGGCACACTGAGACAAATACTGCTTAAGCCTACAAACAAAACGAAAACATAACACTGGCAAAGTATTCTTCTCTATGACACGGACATTATGACTTCATTCTTATCAAACACAGGGCTAAAAAATTTGTTTTGACCAAGAAATACCTAGGTGTTTTTTCAAGCTACCAAAATAACCTTTTCTAAAACTGGTTTCTTTTGCTTATGGACAAAGTAATCATAAGAAAAGGAACATGCTGAATGACAATGATGCCTTAATACTTAGAGGTACACTAACTGTGTTAGAAAATTAAAAAAAAAAAAAGGAAGAACAAAGTTAATTAGTCTTGTAGTCGGCCGTGTCAGAGACCTATTTAATATGTATTTGCAGTTTAAAAGGCATAAGACAAAAGAGGTATGAATTTCCAGAAGACCAGGCAGCTTTAAAGGCAGTGCATTCTAGTGAATTTGCCTTTCATTAGCGTACTATGCTTCCAAGTAAAATAAAGAATATATTGTAATACTCATCATTTGGGTTGGGATAACAGCCTTCTCAAATCTAAACCACAGAAAACTATTGTGGGGCTATTGTTAATGCAACACTTCAGACAACAGCCTCACTACAAACATGTTGTTGGTATCAGAGAGTCACAAAATGGTTTGGGTAGGAGAGCTGGGGTTGTTCAGCCTGGAGAACACTCCAGGGAGACCTTACTACAGCCTTTAGTACCTGAAGGAGCTACAAGAAAGTTGGGGGGGACTTTTTACAAGGACATTTAGTGATAAGACAAGAGATAATGGCTTTAAGCTAAAAATGAGTAGATTTAGGTTAGACATAAGAAAGAAATTCTTCACTAAGAGGGTAGTGAGACACTGGAACAGGCTGCATGGTTAATAACTGGAAAAAATAGGGGTACATTTTAAATTAGTGCTATGCTTTTTTTATGCATGTCGTGTTCGAAGCACCAAGAATGTAACACACAGCACTTCACTGCTAAAACATAGCACATCTCCTAATTCTTACCATATTGTAGTCTCGAATCACCTCTGCCATATCTGTACTGGTGTTAAGTATATCCACAACCTGAAATGAGACAAAATTCCAACCTGTTACTACTACTCTCCTTTTTAATTGCACACAAAAAGACCCCAGAGAAATAGGTAGCAACTCACAAGGCACTCATGAAAACTCTGCAATTTTCTGTTATTGCAAATGGAAAAAAGATGATTTGGAAATCTTAATAGATGACATGCAATTTTCAGAAGTAATCCTCTTTAAATGCAGCACAAATATCACAGCACTGATTTCTTAAATCCATTTGCAACTGCTTCTCCTAATGCATACTACACTTTTTTCCTTTTATGGTTTCCTTAGTTTCCACCTTTTTCCTCTCCAATAAACATAAGAAAGGAAGAATTAACTAGTACATTTTCACATAGAAGTGCCAGCAAAAAGATGCTGAAATAAAGGAAAAGCAGTACCAAGTAAACATGAGAAGGGAGACCATTTGGTATCAAAAGCTGACAGCAGCATACCATGTTGTAGTCTGCTAGCTGACCTTGAAATTCTTTGATTTCACCAGCTAGAGCCTCTGCCCTAAATACAAAACAAAAAGCCAAACTTAGTCTGGGGAGATTGATGTATGTAAAACTAAAATAATGAAAAAAGGAATTCTTAGATGGTTCCTTGAAGCCTGCACAATACACAAGAATTATCTTGTGACTGAGAAAGTAAGCACTGCATTAGCTGCAATAGGTCTCACCGTTTTTCATATGACAAGTAGACAGATTTCTCTTGCTTGTACACTTCTACTTCTTCCTGCAGCTTGCTAATTTCTGTTGTGAGTTCATTTGTTTTGCTTCTGCAAAAAAATAAACAAAAAAAAGAATCATTAACACTTGAAAGTAAAAATAAAACACAGAAAGAACAAAAATTATAATTTATTACAAGAATTGTGCAATCAGTGTATCCTTCTCACATGGCACCATGTTTCAAACCAGTATTTCAAAGAAGAGTAGCATAAATGATGACAAAAGCAGAGTGGTTCTATCAGATAAAATCGTTAAGTACTTGCTAGAAAACCTGGATATGAAATAAAGCATTTTAATTAGCTTTTTGTTCCTGCTGGTGAAATAGATGTGAGTAATTCTCAAATGGAAAGCAAAAAAAAAAAAAA